TAAAAAGTGGGCCAAAGACTTTAACAGACACCTCACCAAAGAAGATATTCAATGACAAAGAAGTATATGAAAACATATACTCCACAGCATATGTCATCAGGGAAATTCAAATTTAAACAGCAATGAGATACCACTACCAGAACTACCAAAATTTGGCGCACTGACAACAACAAATGCTGGTGGCAATGCAAAAAGATACAGCTACTTTGGAAGATAGTTTGGTGGTTTATTACAAAACTAAACTTACTTTTACTATATGATCCAGGAATCATGCTCCTTGGTATTTACCCAAGGGAATTGAAAACTTAAGTCCACACAAAAGCCTACACACAATACTCATGGCAACTTTATTCATAATTGCCAAAACTTGGAAGCAACCAAGATGTGCTTCAGTAGATGACTGGATAAATAAACTGTGGTATGTCCAGACAATGGAATATTATTTGTTACTAAAAAGTAACGAGCCATCAAGTTATGGAAAGACATGGAGGAAACTTAAATGCCTATTACTAAGTGAAAGAAGCCAATCTGAAAGGTCACATACCGTATGATTCCAGCTATTTGACATTCTGGAAAGGATAAAACTATGGAGACAGTATAAAGATCAGTGGTGGCCAGGGAGTGGTGGAGGGAATAAATATTTGGAGACAGGATTTTTAGGGCCATGAAAATACATCGTATGATACTATAGTAATGGATACATGCCATTATACAATTGTTCAAACCCATAGAATGTACAACACCAAGAGTTAACCCTAATGTAAACAATGGACTTTGGGTGATTATAATGTATCAGTGTAAGTTCCTCAGTTGTTACAAATACGCTGCTCTGGAGGAGAATGTTGATCATGGGGGAAGCTATGCATGTGTGGGTGCAGGAGGCATATGGGAAATCACTGTGCCTTTCTTTGCTTTGTTGTGAACCTTAACTTGCTCTAAAAAATCAAGTCTTAATTTTAAAAATCCCTCTGGCTGCTCAATGCAGAACTGACTTCTAGGTAAGGAAGAGTGAAAAAGACAGAGACCATTTACTGTGATCCAGGTGAGAAAGGGAAGTGCCTTGAACTAGGTTGGCAGTAACTGAGATGAAGAAAATTGGGCAGATTTGTGAGATATTTAGGAAATAAAACCTACAGGAGCTGGGAGAATGTCCACCATTTTCCAAAGGTCAGTTCATTCTGGCTTTCCAAAGCAAGGAGCTAGGAAAAATTACAGTAACAAAACTCCCTTGAAATTGAAGAGGAAGCCAATGGCAAAAACTTACCCTCACTCAAATGTCCTGAGAGGACACCACTGGTTGCTAATTTGGTTGCAGTTTCTTAACTGCAAAGAAAAAGGAGAAGGAGAAGAAGAAAAATAAGATGAAAAAAGATGGTACAAGCACATAATTTATGTAATATTCAACAGTGTCTCTTGATCTTTTTTAAAGCCATGGGAAAAAAATAAGATGAGAAGGGAGATCAGAGTTTAAAATCAGAATGAAGTGGATGCCCTATTATGTTCACAGTAGTTAGCCTTTCCTGACAAAGATATAAATGTTGATAATACCTCTTTTAAAAATAACACATAACAATGTGATTCTTTAGATGTGTAGAGTGCTTTCTTGTTTACTAAGTTGTTCCATCATCTTCTCTAACTACCACTTCAGTCTTCTAAGGTAGGTATTATTGGCCACAATTTTCTGATGAAAAAACTCTGAAGACAATTTTGGCATTGTAGAAGCAACATGAACTTTGGAATCCTTCACACCTGGGTTTAAATGTCTGTCGGGCTGCCATTTATTTAATGGGCAACTTCAGAGAATTATTTCACAACTTAATTTTTTAAGGCTTCTTTACCCCTATCCATCAGTCATTTTACTACCATTAGCACCCCCTCCATGTACCCACTGTCTATTGGGTGTAAATAAGAAGAAAACTTAAGTTAGTCACAGCACTCTAAATTGTCAGTGTCAGAAAGACCATCTAGTCCAGCCTCTACCTTCTTCTCTCCCCATTTCACAGAGCAAGAAATTGAAGCTGAGGAACTGGAAGAGATTCATTGTCAGTCTGTAGACCGTTCTCCTGTCTCTGAGACCTATGTTATTTTCATTCGACTTTCTCACCAGTCCAGCTGACTCAATTCCCTTTGAGCAACCCTAGTTAAGAGTTTTGGTGGAACTAGAGGTTGTGATGACCATTCAAATAAAGTTTTCAAAGTATCTGTGCATTTCAATTACATATTCCTGTTTCCTATTATAATGGGGAATTGAAAATTAGCCTTGTTACAATTTGACATGTCTAAGAATAAGGCTGCTTCTTTACCATAAGGGGTGATTTGTGAGATTCCTCACTAAAAAGGGCAGGGAGGGGTATATTTGGGATATATCCAGGCAAGGCTGAAGCCATTAAAATACCAGGGGATAATTTTCACCACCTCAGGTAAAAAGCTTCTTAGGCCTTTGCATTCTGGAAGGTTCATTTATAACTCTTGCCCAAGTGCCCTTGACATTGATTAATCTAGCTAAAATAGCAATGAGATGGAAGACTAGTTTAGGTTCTACTAACGTGGAACACAGAACAAATTTTGTCCTTGTTTCAACGTCTTCATCTGGAAAATAGAGCTGATCATACCCACTCTTCCCTGCCTGTGGGATTAAGTTACCTCCTTTGGTCAGGGTAAGTAAATGTCCATGATGCTTAGCTGTGAACAAGATAAGTCTTTGTGGAAGCCTGTAAAAAGTAGAAGAGATCCACGCAAAAATCTCCACCAACATTTTGGGAGAGACAGACCCTGCCCAAATCTAGAGGTGTAAGAAATTTAAAGGCCAGGGAGGCTGAGGGCCCCTGCTGACACAAAGGGAAACCTCCTTTCCCATAGATCTACCCTGCCACTTCTACTCTTCCATCCCCATCTGCCTCTCCATCTTTACAGAAAGACTATGGTACCTCCACCATAAAGAAGCAATTGCAGTATCCCACTTTACCCCCCACTCCTGTCTGTCCACCAAGAAGAAGAAAAGCAGTCATATGTGGTTTCCATTCCTTGAATAGTGCAGTTTGCAAGCTTAAAATACGCAAGGCAACTTGGAAGAGCAAGAGCACCGCTGCAAAACCCTGGACAAAATCGAGGTCCTTGTGTACATGACCAACGTTTCTGGTGTTTGTGTGTTTGCCTGCTTATCTGGGTGATTTTGCCTTTGCATGCTGGGTAGATGAGAAGTGTATGTTTAGAGGCAATTAGACAGGAAAACAGGAAGAGAAGAGCGTAGAAATGACCTCTGGTTATTAGGCAGAGGGTTCCTAGAGCAACTGGCATCATGCCACAAGGCCCAGTCTACCCGTACGGAGAAATTTGAAAGGTTTCAGCAAGTATCAGCTGCCTTGGCCATAGCTTCTTCCTCAGTTTGTAGGAGACCCTCTCGTCTGTGCTTCTGTCTGCTTTTGAACATATAGTCCCTCTCCTGACGCACTGGTACTCATATCGCTCCTACCTACTCCCTTCCCCCTCACACACAAGCAGAGTCTGTTTTGAGATTGGACTTCGGAACCAAATCTGTAAGCGCTGGCCTTCGGGAGCTCCGCTTAGCCCTGTCTTCAAAATAAAGCTCCAGGTTAAAGCTTCAGCTCTGGCACCTCAAGCCTGGTCCCGGAAAGTAAGAGGTATTCGGGGAGCTAGGGCCCTCCTGGGCTACAGCAATCCACTCCTGCCTTCACCCACGCTGCGCCAGCACTCATTTCTCCAAAGCCACCCGGCGTTAGCGCGCCGCGAGGGGAGGGGAGAAAAGGAAAGGGGAGGGGAGGGAGAAAGGAGGTGGGAAGGCAAGGAGGCCGGCCCGGCGGGGGCGGGACCCGACTAGCAAACTGTTGCATTTGCTCTCCACCTCCCAGCGCCCCTTCCGAGATCCCAGGGAACCAGCGTTCTGGGAGAGCTGGAGGGTCCCGAGCAAACCGGGAGGCAGAAGAGGCAACAGAGGAAAGCGACGGAGCTAGCCGCTCCAGTGCCGGACAGGAGCTGAAGGGACGTACCGCGTCAACCCCAGCTGGGCTCCGGCGACAGCGAACGCTTCTTGCAGCGCGGTGGCTTGAAGCCGCCGCCCCAACAGCTGCCCTTTCCTCTTCGGTGAAGTTTTTAAAAGCAGCTGGAGACTCGGAGGAAGCGAGGAAAGTGCCGGGTAGGACTGACGGCTGCCTTTGTCCTCTTCCCCTCCACCCCACTCCCCGCCCTGGGTCTCCTCTCCTGTTGCTGCCTCGGCCCGCTCCTCCCTGCCCGTCCCCCTACCCCCCCCCAACCCCAGTCGGCCCAGCGCGGCCAGCCCGAGTTTGCAGAGGTAACTCCCTTTGGCTGCGAACAGGCGAGCTAGCTGCACGTTGCAAAGACGGCTCTGGGGAGCCGGGCGACCGGCGAGCAGCTTCAGCACTTGCAGCTGGGACCCGGCTAGTTAGGCGGTACGCGGGGCCGGCCCCCAGGTTCCGCTCATTCCCTTTCCATCTCCTGCACGCAGCAGCTACACCCCCCCCCCGCGCCCTCAGTTTGCAGGGCCAGAGACCAAACAATGAAAGGGCAGAGGGCAGTGAGGGCTTCAATCGACAATTAAAAACAAAAACAACCAAACAAAACAAACCCCCAAACCCAAAATAAGACAAAAAGAGAATAACCCGGTTCCTATTTGCACCTGCTTCAGTGGACACTGAATTTGGAAGGCAGAGGGTTTTCCTTGTTTTTGTTTTGTTTCCTTCAAGACTTGGGCATCTTTTGACTCTACCCTCCCAAGATTTCAGGAACAGACTGTTGAGCCTAGCGGGGCAGATCGTGTCCAGCGCGTGTTTTCCTGGGCAGGAGACTTCGAGGCTGTCAGAGTGCTCTTGCGTGGTTATTCCTGCAAGTTTCCTTCCCAGGAGCTTCCCGCAGGTGGGCAATTAGCTGCAGTGACTACCGCATCGCAGCCTGTTGAACTCTTCTCAGCTAGAGAAGGGGAAGCGGAATAAAGGAATTAGGCGGAAGAGTCAGCCAAGCTCAAGGATGGAGGTACAGTTAGGGCTAGGGAGGGTTTACCCCCGGCCGCCATCCAAAACCTATCGAGGAGCTTTCCAGAACCTGTTCCAGAGCGTGCGCGAAGTGATCCAGAACCCGGGCGCCCGGCACCCTGAGGCCGCGAGCGCAGCACCTCCCGGCGCCCGTTTGCAGCAGCAGCAGCAGCAGCCGCAGGAGACCAGTCCTCGGCAGCAGCAGCAGCAGGGTGACGATGGCTCTCCCCAAGCCCAGAGCAGAGGCCCCACAGGCTACCTGGCCCTGGACGAGGAACAGCAGCCTTCCCAACAGCGGCCAGCCCCCAAGGGCCATACGGAGAGCGGCTGCGTTCCAGAGCCTGGAGCTGCTTCAGCCACCGGCAAGGGGCTGCAGCAGCAGCAGCCAGCACCACCGGACGAGGATGACTCAGCTGCCCCATCCACGTTGTCCCTGCTGGGCCCCACTTTCCCGGGCTTAGGTAGCTGTTCCACCGATCTTAAAGACATCCTGAGCGAGGCCGGCACCATGCAACTCCTTCAGCAGCAGCAGGAGGAAGTAGCATCGGAAGGTAGCAGCAGCGGGAGAGTGAGGGAGGCCGCTGGTGCTCCCACCTCCTCCAAGGACAGTTACCTAGGGGGCAGTTCGACCATCTCAGACAGCGCCAAGGAGTTGTGTAAGGCAGTGTCGGTGTCCATGGGCTTGGGTGTGGAGGCGTTGGAGCATCTGAGTCCTGGGGAACAGCTTCGGGGGGATTGCATGTACGCCCCGCTCCTGGGAGGTCCACCCGCTGTACGTCCTTGCGCCCCGCTGGCCGAATGCAAAGGTTCTCTTCTGGATGACGGCCCAGGCAAGGGCACCGAAGAAACTGCTGAGTATTCCCCTTTCAAGGCAGGTTATGCCAAAGGGTTGGATGGCGACAGCCTGGTTTGTTCGGGCAGCGGTGAAGCAGGGGTCTCCGGGACACTTGAGCTGCCATCCACCCTTTCTCTCTACAAGTCTGGAGCACTAGATGAAGCGGCAGCTTATCAGAGTCGCGACTACTACAACTTTCCGCTCTCCCTAGCCGGGCCGCCGCCCCCTCCGCCACCTCCCCATCCTCACACCCGTATCAAGCTGGAAAACCCGCTGGACTATGGCAGCGCCTGGGCGGCTGCGGCGGCACAATGCCGTTACGGGGATCTGGCGAGCCTGCATGGCGGGGGTGCAGTGGGACCCAGCTCAGGCTCACCCTCGGCCACTGCCTCCTCTTCCTGGCACACTCTCTTCACAGCAGAAGAAGGCCAGCAGCTGTACGGGCCCTGTGGCGGGAGCGGAGGCGGCAGCGCTGGTGAGGCAGGGTCTGTAGCCCCCTATGGCTACACTCGGCCACCTCAGGGGTTGGCAGGCCAGGAAGGTGACTTCCCTCCACCTGATGTGTGGTATCCCGGCGGTGTGATGAGCAGAGTGCCCTATCCGAGTCCCAGTTGTGTCAAAAGCGAGATGGGCCCCTGGATGGAGAGCTACTCCGGACCGTATGGGGACATGCGGTAAGTTTCTCCTAGACATGTCTTTGAATGTAGAGTTAGTCGGCGTTCTGGGGTATCTCTCCTCTTCTACCTGCGGGAACACTCTACCCCTGCAAGAGCTCAACAGTGTTCCATAAAAAGGGCCGTCCTGAATCTGGAGCCTTCTGGGTACTCCTAGCCTGCCAAAGATAAGACCATTGTGCTCAGAAGCCCCACTGTGTGCACCAGTCCCCACCACTGAGAGCCCTGGGTGCTGGTGTGTGTCCTTCCAGATACCTTAATAACACCTCCCCCACCTCCAGCCTCTTAAAATCCTCAGTACCTCATGGTGCTCTATGTCCCAAAGGCTCCAAACTTAAATCCAGTAGTAAGAGCCACCTTCAGAAATAAAGCTCTTAAGTCCTCCAGTACTTTTTCTCATCCCTCTTCCCAAATCTGAGAACCTGGACAGGAAATATGGGCAGTTTCACCTCTTAGAGTGTGTTAGGGTTTGCCCTCCAGCCTGTGGCCGGTCTTGGCAGGTTAAAGGCAAAAAGACTGGCCCAAATTTTTCTCAGTCCGCCTCCTCCAAAGACATAAAATGGAGGTGCCGGATTAGGGAAAGAAGGTCTGAGTTCTCTGGGTTCTGAGGGACGCTGTGTGAAGACAGGGTGAAGTTCCTTCCCTGGCAACAACTGAGGAGTTACCCCAGGGTTGGAAGCCCGCAGAGAGAATCCAACCAGGCAGGAGTAGAGCAGGCAAAGGTAGAGGAAAACGAGAGGACAACTTTCTTGGTAAACACTGGGCAGTATTTGCTCTCACAGGTTGACCATACTGGACGTAGCTGCTTGGGTCGGTCTTGTAAAGAGTTTATTTTCTCTATGGAGTACAGCAGATCCACAGTCCCCTACTTCAAGTTTGCATCAGATCCATAAAAGAGGAGAATGTTCTTTTAATGAATAATTTAGCCAGGCTTGATTCTGACTTATAAAGTGTTGGAAATTTTTTTAAAGAATTTCCTGCTATTCCAGTGTGCTCAGAAATTGCTTTTGGGAGGGAGGAGTGAGGCTCTTCAATATATTCCTTCATTTTAAGAATATGCTTGCATTTTTTTTGATTAAAGTATAGTTGACATACAGTGTTATATTAGATGTGCTTGCATTTTAAAACATGAGCTGCTACTTCTAACAAACTTAGTAAGAACTGTTAGGGACCTATGAGCCAGAATTTTGCCCATGAGTTTTAATTAGGACATGAAAAAAGTGGTGGTCAATTTCACCTTGCTTATTAAAAATTCTTCCTACATTTGTTGAGCTTCTTGGAGATTATGTTGAAGATTCTCCCCCCAACCCCCCCCACCAAAGGTATTAGTTTATCTCCATGAGGGAGGGAATACTAACCAAGGAACTAACTCCTCAGGTGTGCTGGGTACTTAAGTCCCCTTGGAGTTGTGTCTTGTTACGTCTTGCTTTAGCTGTTTTGTTTTATCTGTGACTTTTCCAAAATTTCTTTGTTAGCCTTAGCATCTTTGGCGACTTAAACCCAACAATTTGCCTCCTTTTACTGATGCTTTTTTTCTTGGAAGGTTGATAGAACAGTGTTAGGACAGAACGCGGAGGATAGGATTTCATAAAGTATTATTTTTTGTGCTATTGAAGAAACAGCTTCTTACCAGCCTTTACATCCTAGTATTAGATTTTAAGTGTTTAGCTTACAGAATTTTCAAAGGGTTTATTTATATCATCAAAATGTTTTCCAGTTAGTTTGGTTTTTTTGAAATTATTTTTGCAATGTGGTTATACCGTGGAATTTTTCTTCATTTTATAAGAACAGATTTACTTGGTAGGGTTAATTTTTTTCCCCCTAGGGTTGTTGCTAGTCAGTTCTGTGAAATTTTTTGAGGGATGGGGATGTCTCAGGTGCTTCTTGACATAACCATGATGTTAAACTGGAACCTTTTCTCTTCCGCACACCCTCCCCAACAGTTAACTCAGTTAATAGGGAGGAAATGAGCAATTCCACATCTTTGTTAAGGGATGTGTTTCTTTTTTTGAAGATTTTATTTATTTATTTGGCAGAGACACAGCCTGAACCGAAGGCAGACACTTAACGACTGAGCCACTCAGGCGCCCCAAGGGATGTGCTTCTTTGAAAATATAACCTGAGAATTTCAGGAAGTAGCTATAGAAAGCAAAAAGTTCTTCCCATGAGGTGTGCAGTAAGCTAGGTTATTTTATCCCAGGTCTTAGTGGGAAAATTTCTCTGTTAGACCTGCTTAAATTAATGACCTTAACTAGTGAGAATTTAGCAGTACCCAAAGAAAGTAAAAGATTATTAATCTTCCCCGGTTTGTGGTTGCAGCACTGGCTATGAGAGTCTAGTGAAAGAGAAAACTGGCATTCCTGTCTTGCGGGTTGACGAAGAATTTTCATTTCTAGGATATAGAAAATCGTTGAGTCAGTTTTTTGAAAATTTATCAATTTCATCAAAATGCGACCAACCCCAGTCTAAAAGTTGACATTTTCTTACTTTATCTTTCTTTCCCTCACTTTATTGGGGCACAATCTGGTGAAAGGCAAGGGATTTTTTAAGCCAAAGCCAGAGCTTCCACCCTATCTGTATTGCATGCATTATGTGCTAAATTTGAATTAAAAATCTAAAAATTCTAGAGGCTTCCAATAATGTCGGATTCCTCCTTTCCCAATTGTGTGTGTGTTCATACACATTAGTTAATTGGGGGGGGTTAACTTTGGTAACTTTTGGAATAACTCTATGTTCTTATACATCTACAATGTTTCTGCTCAAAGGAGAGAGGCCGAAGGAGTAACTGACGGTGGTCCTTTAAAAGAAAAAAAAAAAAACAGAAAAAAACAACAACAACTTAAGTTTAAGCATGTGCTTTGAACAGAAGGAAGAATAAAAAGCGATGGGGCTTCTGTACAACCCTGATGATATTTAATGGAGCTGTCTTCTTTCAGAGATCAAACAAGACTACAACTTTGTTAATTGACCACCTGCCCACTTGACAGAAGTAAGACCTTTTATATTCCAGAAAGCAGCACAATAATATGAAAAAATATTCTTGGGAGCTGAGGCCCAAGGAAGCAAGTGCCAGAATAAGAGTTAGGATTTAGATTAATTATCTGGATGCAAAAAGAATTTTTCTCTTGGTAATTTATTCTGATCTTTATAATAGGTAATATTTTTGTAGTGCTTTGAGATTGGCAAATCCTGCTTTTTTCCCTCTTAGTTATTTAAAAGGAAGGCATTTTATTAATCCCCTTTCCATCTCCTCTCCCCTCTTTAGTTATCGAACAAGTTTTTATGACTATTTTGCAAGGAGCGGTTTTTGTTTTTTTTCCTAACGCAGAATTTTGCTTTGGGACCGAGATAGTCTGATGCTTTTTCTGTCCATAGTCCTTGAGAGTCAGTATGTTGGAAAGAAGCATCCTTTCTCCATTGTCAGCAAATAACTAGTGAGTTATGTTTGAGTACCAGTGATCAGAACCGGAGGACCAAGTAGCCACACTGGGTGGTACCCCATTTGGAAATATGTGCAAGATGTACTGATGGAAGGCTCCTCTTTGTTGTCCACAGAGTATCTCTTTTAGCTCGGCCAAAGGTTAGCATCAGTAAAAGATATTTTCCAAGAAGCTTGTAGCCTTCCAATTGCAGGGTCACTTTGGGGCACTTTCTTGCCAGGGCTAATTTTACCTCATCAGACTTCCATTCTTTGAGTTGTAAACTTTGATATAATATATTGAATTTGCTGGCACATTTAATTTTCTATAAGTGTTTTTCTTCCCTGTAATAATTTTCTCCTGTGGTGTACATATACACATTTAAAACAATGAATCCTTAGGATTCTGACTCCTACTTGTACTGTGACGCTCTTGGTGGGATTATGAGTTGGAGTTAGGGACCTGGACAGTGTTGTTATTTTTATTTCCCACGGTGGTATAGAGACCACCAGTTTCATTTGGAAGTCTGCTCAAACAGGGAACAGAATGTAGGCTGGGAGTGGCAAGCAAGGGACTTATTTTATAACCAAACCTGAAATCATGATTCTGAAAAATGAAAAGCAAACAAAAATCAAGTTTTGTGAGGTTGGTCAGAGAGGGAAAAGGAAACCTCTCCCCACCCCCTACCTCCACCATTTTCTCTTTGTCTGCAGCTTCCTCAAGTGCTGCCTGTCCCGGATTTTCTTTCATTTCTCTCCTTTCATGCTTTTAACTCAATGGAAACATAGACACTTCTTTCTACTTTTGGGGATATTTTCCTCATTACACCTGTGGCATGCTCCTAAAGATTTTTTTTTTTTTTTTTTAATCTGGAGAGTAACCGATCAGATCAATGCCAGCCCTTCTCTTAAGGCTAGATGACTTGAGGGGATTGCAAAATTATTAGCTGGGCTTTTTTGGCCTCAGGTTAGAGCCTAATTCAACAGTTGCTGAGGGAGCTGAACTAGATGGCTTGAGGCCTTGGTGATTTAATGAAATATTTTGCCAGCCCAGCCGCTGTCTCTCTCTTTTGATCTCTGTCTCTGTTTACTGGCCATTTTGGCAACCTTTTCTCAAAGCCTGAAAATAACTGGACCCTCACTGAGACTGTGCTGGGTCAGACCTCCACCACACTTTCACAAGCAATACCTAAATCTGTGTGTGAGGATGCTTCTTCGAAGTGTCTGGCTGGGCTAATAAATATGTTGATGCTATGTAAAGTAATCATTTGAAAACAAAGAATGATATTGAAGAAACTGTTCTACCTCAGACTTCCCCTACCAGCATTCCATCAAGTTCTGAAATGTTGAATTCAGAGTTAAGTTATCCTCATCTTAAACACAAAGCTGACCTTTTTTTTTTTTTTCATTGCTTGTAATGTTCTCTGCAGTTACCAGTATGGGTTGGCATTTGTCATATTGAAGAGAATTATGAAATCTCGTATTTAGAGCACCTTTTCAAAGAAAAGCCCCAGTGTCTTATAGTTTACTGGCTAACACGTAAGTTTGAGTAGGCCAAGAGGATGCTTAGCGAACAACCCTT